CAATAACGTTATGGTGCATTTTCAGAATGCATTTTTTTTTCACATCAAAAAAGTCATTTGTTGCATTAAATTAGCAAATCGATTGATGTAATAAAAGAGATAAATTGTACATCCATCCATCTCTCAATTGTTTTCAACAAACGATTACTAATTAAATTTTTCAAAAAGCAAACTTTTTGAAAAATTTTTCTGATCATCAATCATTATTTATATGTTTGTTAATATTTAATCTTAGACATTGATGAATGTTTGCTGCTGGCGGATGATTGTTCAGAGAGTCAGCGGTGTTTGAACACTCCTGGTTCGTTTAAATGCATACGTACATTATCTTGTGGTACTGGATATGCACTGGATAGTGATACTGAACAATGCATTGGTTCATTTCTCTAGCTTTTTTTTTTGCTCATTTCTCAAATACTTGCTAAGAATTTTTGTCTTTAACGTTTAAGCATTAATTATTAATCACACTAATAATAGCTATAAAGTTTATTTACATTCATATCAACTTAATTACTACAATAGTTTCATTCATCAGACATTACTATTCTGTTTTCTAATTCTTCTGTGAAACAAAAAAATAATAATAATAACATTTCTTGTTGCTTCGTAGTTTAAAAATAGCAAATTGCGTACTAAATGATCTCTGTCTGTGTGATTTAAATTTATCCAACACAATGTTATCTTGCATTGAATAGTAAAGTTAAATGTGCTATAATTAAAGCAGTTGAGAGAGAAAAGTATTACGAATTTTGTTTCTGCATAAATAAATTTGTAATGTTGACAAAGAATTGAATTGTTGGTAGATGTGGATGAATGCAGTCTTGGTTCTCATGATTGTGGACCTTCATATCATTGTCGTAATACACAAGGTAGCTATCGATGTGATCCGAAAAAATGCGATGATAGTGAGTTAATGAATCCAAGAACTGGTGAATGCACTAAAATTGACTGTCCTGTTGGGTATAAACCGATTCGAGGCCGTTGTGAAGGTTACTTTTCTATTCTTTCGGACGAGTGCTAATTTATTTCGTTTACATATTCTATTTTCTTGAAATAAAAAAGAAAGTAAAATTATGCTAAAGAATAAGATAATATATAGTAATAGCTTAAATAAAATAAATGTAAAATAAGGTAATAGCTTAAATAAAATATAAATAAAATAAAAATTTTTAAAATTTACAGATGTAAATGAATGTCAGATGCCTGGACAGTGTCGAAATTTTGAGGAATGTATCAACACTCCTGGATCATTTCAGTGCCAGGATCGAACAAATCTTTGCGCTAATGGCTATCGGATGGATCGAGATACTGGATTTTGCATAGGTTACTGTTACTGATTTCAAAAAGACTGTCTTTATAGAATTGAATGTGGTTATTTGCAAAAATTTTGTTGCATAATAGTGGAATGACTTTCATTAAATGAATCATAAGATGTACTTAACATTGTAGATATTAATGAGTGTACCGAAGGTTCTCATTTGTGTGGTGATAAACAATGCATCAATCTTTTGGGAAGTTATAAATGTCGCTGTTCAGCAGGTTTTGAATTCAATGAAACGGTAATTTCTGATATTACTACGTGTAGGATTAATGTAAAAAAATTTACTTCTACACAAACCGATTGGATTATAGTAATGCAAAAAAAATCTATCACTTGTTATAATAATAATCACTATTGAGGGAAAGTCATTTTTTATAGACAAAACGCTGCGAAGATGTAGATGAATGCAAGAAGTTCAAAGGGCATGTTTGTTCATTACATGCTACTTGTGAGAATACTTTTGGTTCATTTCGATGTCATTGTCAAGATGGCTTCATTATTGCAAGTGATGCACGAAGCTGTGAAGGTTTGAGTAAAGTAACAGATTTAATCAGTAAACTTTGAAATATATGCAAATTAATTGTAAGTTGCATAAAAAGCAATTTTAATTGATAAAAGAAACTGTTGACCACAATAAACATATATTTAAATATAATATGAGTTGCTTTATATTATATTCTTTTATTCTTAGCACAATTATTTTTGTGAGCTACTCATAGCTCCATAGCAAATGCAACTATTCCAACCTTTGACATAGCAGATATTGATGAATGTCGACTTGGTATAGCTCGTTGTGCACAGAAGTGTATTAATATACCAGGGAGTTATCAGTGTGTTTGTGAACGGGGTTATCGTCTGGGTGCTGATGGAATTACTTGCGAAGATATTGATGAATGTACTCTTTGGGCTGGTTCAGGTATATACTCGAATACATTCTACTTTTGCTGCTAAAAAGTCAAGGCAATTTTTTTACAAAAAATTCATGTTGAAGGTGATGATCTTTGCATGGGCACTTGCACAAATACACCTGGTTCTTACAAATGTAATTGTCCTTCTGGCTATGAAATTGAGGAAGATGGTAGAACGTGTAAAGGTCAGGTATTTTTAGTTTATTCATCAGTCTTAAATATAAATTTTAGAATACTTGTCTTTCAGTATTATTCTTGTACATTCAAAATTTGAATAGAACTGATTAATAAGCACTAATATATTAGTTTGCAGATATTGATGAGTGTAGTTTGGGTAAATGTCAAGGCAATGATCAAATTTGTGTTAATACATTAGGAAGTTTCAAATGTCATATAATACGTTGCCCACCAAATTATATACACGACAAAAACTATAAAAAGTATGGCATTTAAGAAATATGCGCATTTTATCTAAAGCATGCATTTTAACACTGTGTTGTTTGCATTATATGTTGTTGCTTTAGTGGATTACATTAACGGCTAAAAATTAATGCTGAAAACAATATGAGCAATTGTATGCGAATACCATTGACTACATTACTAGCTACGGACTTGTAATGGCTTACATTTAACAATTTAGCCGTTGTAACCGATTGAATCACTTATGTGATTCATTAACTCAAGAAGAATGTAAAAATCATGCAGTACGCATAAGTTGGGAGTTTACATCAATACCAAGACAAGAGCCAATTTCTTCGAGACGAACATCTATTACATTATTTACTATTCGTGGCCCATTATCATCTTCAAGCAGTGTGCAATTCGAATTAAAGCTCAAAAGTGCTATACCAGGTAGTTTTAGAACTTGCAAACGCTTAAACAGATATGACTTTTTGCTGATTTCAGAATATTCATTAGATTTAATATCTTCTAATTAGACCACTTTGAGTGATGAATTAAGAGACTAAAAATATCTTTTATCATTTGATGTAAGCTTTTTTAAATTTAATATTGTTCAATTTTACTTCTGTATTACTTCATTATTTATGCTCTTTCTCTAGACCATAACGTGCTTCATAAACATTTTTCTAATACTTTGTATTGCCTTTGAAAACTTCACTGATTATTTGTCCGCAGTTTTACTCACATTGAAATTATTAGAATGTAAATCGTTTCAGAAAAAAACCATGTGATACCAGCAGTTCGCAGTAACTTTCTCTTACAGAAAAGTGGAGAAAGAAATGGAGCAATAATTGCTTTAAGGGATTCGTTGGATGGACCACAAGAAATCACTTTAGAACTTATTCTAAGACTTAGCACTAATGGTGTATTTCAAAGTAAATATGTAGCTATTTTAGTAATTAATGTTTCTTCTGATCGTAGACAGCGAATTACTTCACTTTCTGAAAATTTGAATTGGAAGGAGTGATTATTATCAGTAGAGATAAGCAAATTTATCATAGGTTAGAACTGACAGCAAGACTGATTTTCAAATGAGCAGCATTAAAAATGCCTTCTTTCTAGTGATCTAATTTGATAGTTATCATATGCCATTATAGTGATTATCTCACTGTTTATCTTTGTTTTCTAACAATGATCGACTTATTTGACTTATTTGGGTTTTGGGTTTTTTTTTCTCTATCGTATTTCACTGATCAATTCTAGGAAACACATGTATGTAAATTATGCTTGTCCTTGATCTCTTTTTAAGTGATTTACGTAAAGATTAAGTTTTTAACGACTGTTCAACAAAACTTAAATAATCAGTTTACTAACTTTACTTTCTCTTAGCTTCCTACACATTTTACTGTGATCAATTTTTTGCGAAAATTGTTAATAAATGACAGAAAGTTCGTTTGTATTGACTGTTTATCGTTTATTTTCTATTTTTGCTTTTTGTTAAAATTATTTACATATTAATATGTAACTTTATTTGATATTACTAAAACCTTTGTAATTGTATAATTTTGTGCATTTACTATTCTAACTAACCAAACTAATAAGAGTCTTTCATTTAAATCTTATAGCTTTTTTTTTTTAATTACACAATAATTACTTGACCTTTTAATTATAATAATAGTAGTGAATGTAAACTTAAGCTGATGTCATGTTGTGTTATATTATCTCACTTCAAATAGATACCGTTTAGTAATTGACATAAGTTTGCACATAACACTTTATTAGTACATAAAATTTTTTCATGCATCAGTCATTATTACCATGCAATTTTTATTGTTATAAAATTTAATTTAGAGAATGGCAGAGCATTCATTTAAAACCTGTGTTACTGCAAACAATAGTTTCTGATTCGATCGAGAAGATGCGTCATAATTTTTAATTTTGTTCCATTAATGGCAAATTACCATTATAAAATGATTCTGAACTGTAACATTTCTCTCCAGTATAGAGAATTTTGAGATCATTTTATACATTAATTAAAAATTTTAGCATTCAGATGGAAATTTATGCTTATACAGCCAATTTAATAATAGCGGTCAGTTCAAATATTTCCATAATTTTTAAGTACTGTAAGCTAGGAGCAACACTACGTCTTCCGATTAATAATACTGACCATAACATTACCTCAAGTAACCTTAAACTCATGTAGCATTTTCTTTGAGGTAGGTATCAAGTATCTTGACAAGCTTCATTGCCTTCTCTAAGAACCGCTTCTGCCAGCACGGACGACCTGCAGTATTAGTAATTGCAGCATTCCCTTGCTTCAATTCTTGAAGCTAATCTCGCACTCGATCTTCTCGCAATACAAAGAACGACACAAGAGCTATCCCAGTATCGGCATCCTCTAGAAACGATCATGAACTGCCTTCAGCACTTTCCCTAGCCAGCTGCTTTGTGGAACCTCGCTCTATGGAATCTCGTTACTTAATTTTACCATCTTCAATATATTCACATTTTTAGCCTTTATTAATTCTATGAAGAGTGATAAATTAAAATATTGGCTTTAGTATTAAAATTTAACTCTCCATGAACAGTTACTGAATCATACCAACAATATCAAAGTACAGAACCTTTTTTGATTTACTAGGTACCAAAGTACAGTAGCAGCAGTAGTTAAATTGAGTCAGTAATTGCTTATACCACAAATAATGTAGAATATTCTGCTTAAGCGGTAAGCAGTAAATGCATTTTCACCTTTCAACTTTCTTGACTGCATTGGTTTAGATACTAAAAATTCTGTACAGCCGATTCGGTGAGTATGCGATATTATTGCTCCATTTCTGAAAGTTTTAAGTTGTATTACTTTCAAATTATAATTAGCTATACCAATTGTTGATTTGTATTGAGACTGACAAACAGCATTAATGTATTGTTCATATATATGATTTACAGCAGGAGTGAAATGTTTGTGAACAATACAGATTAAGATAATGGAAATTGCGATAAAATTATTCAGTTAAGTAATCAGCAGCGCCAATATTATATATAGGATACAAGAAGCGAGATGTTAAAAGTGATGAATTGCAAAGTTAGTAGTGATTAGTTAGAATGATTCCGAACCACAAAGTCTGAACTATTTTAGCAGGTTAATGAATCACTGTTCCCAAGACCAAAATCACTAGCTGAATGCATCTCTTCTAGCAACAATATACTTTGCACTTCATACTTGTTACGAACTAATGTAGTGTCTTACTGCTTGTTTGAGTCAGATTTCGTACTAATACTAATCACTGCTAAGCCATAACAGATTAGATTTTTAATGGTGTTTATGGGCTCAATTCATGTTTCTTTCTCATTATTCATGTAATAGACACCTTGTTAAGAAGCAGTAACAGGAATAAATTATAGTTTGGTGGATGATGGCTTCTCTTGCTTAAAACGATGTCATCCGAATGATCCAGTTTGTATAAGTAATCATACTCGCGAAATACTTTATCAATTCAGAAACCTGCCAGCTACAAAACATATCAAATATCCAGTAGAAGTTAGTTCGTATTTGATTCCGTCCCTCTCAAAAGTAATCAGTGTGATATTTTTGAAAATATCAAGTCAGTATCAATACATTACCGAAATAAACAACATATTTAGATGACAAAATGACCAGTATTGTAGATTTCTCGCGTGAGAGCCCAAATGGATACGCCATTTTCAGTAAAATATAGGATTGATCGAGCAAATCGAAATTTATTTATTGTACAACAAGACCGAAATATCGGTAATTTTGTCAACAAATTTATATAATAGCTTGTAGACATCAACAAATCCATGTACTATCTTATGGAAAAATAGAAAAACTTAAACCTTACTTTCTCCTTAAAGTTCATCTCACAATGACATGTACTTATTTCCTCGTATCCTGACAACTGGTATATAACTGACACTGACCATCAATCTTAACTAACTGATTAATGGATAGTCTTCAACTTAACTATTTCAGGGATTATAAAGCAAATAGCGCCTATAGAAGGAAAAGAAACAGTTGAAGTGAAGTTGCACATGAATACCTACTCGCGATCTAACGTTCTCTTAGCTCACAATGTTGCCATTATAACGGTGTATGTTTCACCGCATATCTTTTAGTCATTAAATTTATTTTTGCAATTTATGCGCATAAATTCGGTATTAAAATTTTCAATTTTCCCCTTAATCTGTAAGCTGCAGGAGCAATATTAAAAATTACTGAGATGTTAATTAATCGAAAATACAAAGAGATTAATATTGACTTGCGGACTCTTGCCACCATGATATGGCCAATGTGTGCGTATAATAAACCACAGTCTGTAAATATATGATGCAGTAAAATTTTTGAAATGAGCGTTAGCAACATAAGAAGTGATGAACAATTATTGTGAGGTTCACAAGAAATAAAAAGAATGATCATACAAACTGTCTAATACTGGTTCCGTCGTTCACAGTAAATAACATGCAGTAATTAACGAAACAATGGGAGCAATAATAGTTCAGTTCGGTTTGTTACATCATATACATCAAATAACTTATGAATATACAAACTATGCTTTTGAATATAGTTCACAAATTTACTTGAAGAAAAATGCCCTAATGGGCGTGCAGGAATCCGAAGGTAATGGCCTCACACCAAGCAGTTTTTTGATTTTTGGATGTCTGAATGCAAAATGCTGTATGCAGCCAGTCAACGAAACAGTCGACCAAAATAACGGAATACACTGAAGAATTAAAACTCCACAATCTCAGCAATACATATATTTAAATTATAATAGCGTAATATTATTGAAAATTTTTGGTCATATTCAAATCGTTTAAGAAGTTAATAAAATTCCTGGCTGAAATTAAAAATTTAAAGATTCAACTTCAACAACAAAATGTAGCTTCAAACTTGAATATATGAGACTTACCACAGGTAAATGAGCCATTACATAAATACCGAACACCATGAATAAAGAATAGCAGCCATTAATTACTTGTCTCACTTTCCTTGAACTGAAGCCATATACACGTTGCTGAGCCTAAGAACCAAATATTAAAATCTGAAGTAATCATGATCTGGTTTCATAGAAAAAGCTCAAAATCATTGCTAAACACATTTTGATAGGTTTTTAACAGGAATAAACATTAGGTGCACTACTACTAAAATTTTTATCATTGTGGTGCTACAAATAGTAAATAGACAATGAACTCACAAAGTAATTAAAAAATCCTAAGATACCAACAAAGACTGGAATGATATAATATGGATCAGGCTGTAACAAATCCGAGAACCATAAAGCACCTTCATAGCTGCGACCCACTCCTGCTGCAACGACAAATTTTATCAAGTCTTATTTTTGATATAAATAAATCTATCAATAAGCAATTTCATTAGTTCGACAAAAAATTAAAGGAACAGTCTACATGCTTTTTGCATGCAAGATAAAAGCAAAGAAATCTGCCTTCTAAACTCAATTACTTGCTCTTTCCTGTATGAGGGCAAAAAAAATATCTCAAACGTACAAGTGATCACATTTCGTATCGCGAAAGAAGAGAACGTCCAGACAGAAACAGCGCACAGTCTAAGATATTGAATACGCTGAAGTTGTAGGCCACGGCTCCGGCACATTTTTAACAAGACTTCTCTAGACTGAAAAGAGTGATAGAAGACAAACCTAACCAGAAGCATAGACAAAAACTCTGCAGTGTAGTTCCCTTCAACAGTGCTTGTCTGTAAACATGTACCCCTCCCGACACATCTGCGACTCCTGACGACATGTGATGCGAGTGTAATCATGAACTTCTGTCTAAATATTATGAGACTAGCATCTGTGTCTCCTCAACATAGCAACTCAGTTTTCATTTCAAGTGTTCAGGAAAAATATCAAAAACAATCTATATACAAGAAAACAACTAATAGCCTACTAGCTTGTTAGTTTCTTGGAGAATCGATTTATCAGTCGTATCGAGTTTTAAAAATCTACCATTTTCACTTGACACAATATTCAACTTGTAGTGTTTGCTGAATTTCTGAAAAGTATTGTTTTTAGAATGTTATGAAATAATGATCAAATTTCTAATAACCCTAACATGATAAAAGTACAAATTCTTCATTGTTTTCGATTTCTCAGTTTTGAGAAAAGGTAGTCAATAAGTTCTGCTTCCTAGACATTTAACTGACCAACTTTCATGAGTTCGTAATTTAGTGTGTTCACAACATGAAATCTCTCAGCAGATAATCGTTCTGCATAAATATGCAATGGTAAACTTGCGATACGAAACAAAGCTCCAGAAAGCATAAAGGTGCCAACCCATGGAATACCCGCTGCCTGCAAGCCTGAAATACTGATCTCAAAAATAATGCCGATTTGGAGTTTTTGCTGCTATGAAATACACTGGATATGCATAGCTAAACTTAACAGACTTTCAGCAGTCTCAAGAATAATTCTTAATTGGTATCTAAAGTTACATGTTTGATTTCCACGTAATAACATTTTACTGTAATTCTTTATAAGAACTAATGACCTTCAATAGCAAACTGTAAAGTCTTTGTAAAGTAGCACGTTTCAGCATACAATACCGGTGTGATCACGCTGAAATCATGCACCTTTCTCGATAACAATTGTAGGCACGTATTTTTTGTGCCATGTCTTTGCACTAGAAACTTCACCAACATTGAGATTATTACTGCAAAGATTCTTGTTGTATTTTTATACCATTTTGAATGTATCAAAAAAAATTTGACAGTACAAAACACTACTTTTAAACATCATCAGTATGGCACAATTTCGATACCAACACAAACAAAACTCGTAAAAGTGAAGACATTTTATGTGCAAAGTGTAACTTACGAAAAACAAAGAACACAAATTTTGCTAAATAAATTTTCTTTTCCACTGATTCCTGAATATACAACTGTCATCAAAGATTGTTGCTGTTCACTATTCTTTAAAAGATATAAGATAAATATGAGCAACTTCTACGGTCACGTGGTACTGAATAAAATGAAAATAACAGTTATTTGGAAGAAAAACAAAGTTAACTTATTTGACGTCATAAGCGAAACTAACGACTTCAACCTGTAATAAGCAATATTTTTTCACAGTAATTTTAAAGTTGAGCATTCCAATACTTCGAGTGATATACTTAAAACCATTGCAATGTCTAAAAATATCAGGTTGTGATACTCAAAACTGAGCAAAGCTCCTCTTACACTCTGTACCGTGAGGTTGCAACACTTTTTACTGTTTAATTAGCTAAATATTTGGGAGAAAAACGTCTACACACTAAATTTACAACATTCATATCAGTAATCAGTTTGAGGGATAAAATATCATGAGGTACTTTGTGGATGGACGTTGTTTCAGGCACGATATTCCAAAATATGCGGGGACCAACATATTTTTTGGAATTATAGGTGTGTGTAATTTAAGACTGTATTGCTGTGTAATGAGATGGTGACCTAATATTTTAAGGTTAAGTTCATGTTCTTGCATCATTGTTGATAATTATTTTTTATTCCAAAGAAAAGTGTTCATTTTAGTGTCGAAAAATTTTCGCTCTATAAATAATTTTAAAAATATGCTTTTGTAATTTCATTCTATGTGCACTTTATTTTCTTAAAATTTTTATTGAAACAGTAATATCTCTCGCGCGATTTCATTTTCCTTTATTGATTACAGTGTAATATATTTTATACTGTTGGTAAATCCTATTCACATATGGTTCGAACACCGGAAGAAATTTTAAAGTTTGTGCGAGATGTGCTTAATGATGATTTAGATCACAAAACTCAAAGCGAAAAGTAATTTTACTTATTTTGTTTTACAAAATACTTTCTTGGTGTGTTTCAATTGTTACCACTTTATTCATTTATATCAAATTGAAATTACCTTTAGTATATTGTATGAATGATTTGAGATTTTCCTTTCAGATTAAATTCCTCATTGCTCGCAATGCTAAATTGTGGTGCAGACGACAAAACGCTCGTTAATAACATCACCAAAATAGCAGAAATAGGTGAGTTATGTGTGTTTTATCTTACAAGTTTTGTATGTATGCATACTATACGTATATGCCTTTGCTGACTGTGATCGAATGGTCTTTGGTATATATTGATCATTATTGAATGAGAGTATATGATATTGCAGCTCATCTTTGTAGTAACCCTGACTATAATCCATAGTTGTTAATTTGTTATTATTTTATGATTTTGCTCCGTGATAGTTTGATAAGTAACAACAAATACAAATATTATTCATAGTTGTCAACAAAGAAACGATATCGATGGTGGTGTCTAGAAAGTTCGTCAGTGAAATTGTTTTAGCTTTGGATTACTTTCATGCAAATCTTGTAAAAGAGCTAGCAAAAGCATTATTGAACGTAGTACAATCGCGCTTAATTTCATACGAAGAACAGGTGTGTATTTTATTATTGCAGGCTTGATTTCATTACAGTATTGTACGCATTGAAGATGAAACTTTTGTATTAGACAGATCGTGAATTGAGCCAATGAGAGTGTTGTTTTAGGTAACACAATTACGTCTAAGACTAGCTGATATATATGAAAAAGAAAAAAAGTTCGAAAGCGCTGCGAAAATACTTATGGCAGTACCTCTTGAGACAGGTCAAAGGTAGCAATTTTTATTTTTTTATGATAAGCTTGAGTTTGCCCTCGAAAATATAAATTCATTAAAAGAAATCATGTTTATTTAAAAAAATTGCATCATATTTTTCATCTCTTATCAGAGCCGTCTGGAAATTAAGCCCGAATTTTGACATATCTTCATCAAACTATTTGATATTAAATGCTATATCAAGTTCAATCTGTAATTGCTTGTCGAAACTTTTAGGACGTATCCTGCAGAAATAAAAGTGCGTACATATTTGAGAATAGCACAATTAGCCTTGGAATACAATGCCGAAGAGGCGGAAAGCTTTGTGAATCGAGCTTCAATATTGTTGAATGACTTGTCTAAAGATGATGATCTGGTTGTGGCTTTCAGAGTGAGAATAATTTTGAAAACATGAAAAATGAAATAATACATTGATTTGTCTTACTACATAATTTACGGCAGATTTTTCTTTGGATTTTAAAAGAATTATTAGATTAAGATATCTTAGCATTAAAAAAATATAGCAAATGTTTGTTATCAGAGTGGTGAAAAGCTGTGAAAGGTAATTTTTTCAGACCCTCTATGCTAAAGTATTAGACCATCGAAAAAAGTTTATTGAAGCTGCACATCGATATTATGATTTGTCTCTGCTGCGAAATACATTCAGTACTTCAGACAAGTTACAAGCACTAACGAATGCAATTTTTTGCACTGTTCTAGCTTCACCAGGTTTCTTACAGTAATGTAATTTGTAAGAGGTGTATTAAAAGTGCGGACTTTATTAGACTAGTTCATTACATGCAACTTATTCAAGTGTTCATAAAACTAGTAGTTCATATCTCTAACTTTGGGTTCAAAAATCAGCGTCTTTATTTAATTAATTACAATTTTTCTTATCCGATGTAAAACAATCAGTTTCCGAGCAAAATACTGCTGTGAATGTTCAATATTAAAGTAGTTACAGATGATGTAATATGCAGAAATTTATAGTTTTGGTTTCTTTATATTGTTAAAGTCATTTCTAGGTGTGCAACGATCGCGTATGCTAACAGTACTGGTAAAAGATGAACGATGTTGTAATTTGCCTGCGTATGGTGTCCTGAAAAAGATGCATTTTGAAAGACTTATCGGAACCGATGAGGTAAAGTTTTTTTAAATTGTTTTTGACATTTTATTTCTTGGTGAGTTTTTTATAAACCTAGTTTTCAGGTTTTTTTTTCTATTGTAATGAATCTATTGCTTAATTTTTTATTTGAGGACTTTTCAAAATCCGTGAAAATAAATGTGATAAGTTTTGAAATTTTTTTTTGTTACAGAACTAGCACATTAGTAAATATTTTTCATTTTAAGATTCAGGAATTCGAGAAATCATTACCTTCACATCAACAAATTTCTGATGGTGATTGTAGTCTACTTAAACGAGCTATCTTGGAACACAATTTTGCGGCAGTGAGTAATATATTTACTAACATTACGTTTTACGATCTGGCTTTACTTCTTGGTATCGATTTCGTACAGGTTTGTTTCATTTGATTAATTCCCGTTACTTTCAAATATTTATTCTCTTTAGGGGATAAAAAATTAGGAGTAACAGAACGCTTTTGTGTTTTCGTTCATAATTTAACAGAAGGTTTAAATGGTTTTCTCTCTCCTTGCTAATTTTAGTATTTTTTCTTGGTATGTATATCCTACAAATATTACTGAACTTTGCAGAATAAATCTTATTTAGTTTTTTTATTTTTTTTCGTTTTTGTTTTCACAAATTTATAGAGTTTAGTGCACTTCAATCTTAATTGCTACATGTGGACTCAGGAACTTTGCTATTTTAGGCTGAAAAAATGGCTTTGCAGTTAATCGCTGATGGCCGCATTGGGGGCACTATGGACCAGATTGAAGGATTAATACACTTTATTCGTGAGCTAATTTTCTGTTTTTTACCGTATCACATTTAGTTGCTTATGTATTGTCATATTGATATGGTTAATTACTCTTTTTAATAATTTTATACGTTGATACCTTGTACAGTACTTTTGAATTAAGATTGCATTATGTGAATTATTGGAGGCAGAATACGGGTGGTTAATAAAATTTGTAATTATAGAATTAAATATGGAGGAAGAGGATGTATCACCGACAGAAGAGGCTTTGACAGAATGGGATCTTCGTATCGCTGAAGTATGTAATGATGTGAATAATGTGACTGATTTAATCATTCAGAGGAATGATTCATGGGTGAAGTTCAAGCGAATGTCTTGAAGTTGCTTTGACGAAGTAATGTGTCATGGTATAACTTTGTTGGAGAATTTGATGTGTGCATGATTTTGACGGGTGTTATAAACTTGTATTTACCAATATCTTCCAAAAATTCAAGCTACGGTAGATTCTTTTTCTTCATATAAAATGCTAATCATATTTGTTGAATTAAACTGACGTTAACATTGGGTGATTGTTATGAGCGCTGCCTGTATTGTACCATATAAGTGATTTAATTTGTTTTCTGAGATTTGTCTTTTACTGCGATGTATTCTTTTTATCTTGTGATTTTTATATTTTATATATCCCTTGCATATTTTGTTCTAATTGTCTATGTTCTTTATATTGCATTCAAGAGAATTTCCATGTATCTTTATTTATACATTTTGTATTATTTCTTGTGTTCAAAAAACTCAGTTCCTAGGCATCCAAAAGGTTTTAAATTTTTTCAAGTTCTTGTAAAGTTAATAATAGTTTTTAAGAGAAAAAGAGATTTATACAGTATATAGGTTCACAAGATACATGTTGCTAAAGCAGTATTCTTTAAAGATTGTAGTCAGGAAAAAAAGTGGTTGATATGTGTTCAGAAAGTTGCTAGTTTCATTATTATAAAAACTGTTCTCTTCAAATTGAGTTTTGAGATGTGTATGTCAAGTATGATGGTTGTATTGTAATTACAGAAGAAATTTGCATCAGATATGGGACGTTATATGTGTTCATAAAGATATAACGCCATACTTTGTACATATTTGTATCGGACAAATAAGTTTGTGATTACACGTATCAGTTGCGGTTTGGCAGAAGAGTTTTCCATCATGACTTCTTATTAAGGTAGTCAATACTCTCTTGCTATGGGTTACGTTTTCTGAAGGTGACGTTTTACGGAAACGGCAAATTATTAATAGCACCCCCTTATTAGGCTTTAAGATAATGAACTCGATATCATGAATCGCGGATACACTGAGAACTCAGGACTATATCCCATTTCAACTTCTCATGATCATATGTTTACATTTCTCCTACGATAATTTACCGTGTGTAGTGGTGTGTAAAAGCGCTCTTTCTTTTTCCTGTTAATTTTATCATGATGACTGTTATTTAAAGAAGGGAGGGATTTGATTAGCTTTTCACATACTGGTACAAATAAAACCAACAGCATTAAAGTTGGAAGCTTGTAATGCTTACAGTATCGCATGAAATGAATAGTAAAAATATATGTACGTATTGTCTCAGATTCTTTTTCAGCGAGAAAACTAAAAGATAGATTCTAGTTGTTAATGATTTTACGTACTAGAAATTCATAGCCTGAAGATTTTTCTCTTTATCCCTTCTAAATACAAACATAGATATTCTAATCCTTCCGTTTTTCAGACACAACATGTGTAATATGTCTGCAAATTTATTAATTCTTGCAGGTTTTTTTTTAAACTCATCAGAATCTTTTCCTATTTTCTTTCTATAGTTTTCGACTGAGCTTGTTTATGCTTCAACGTAAGACGAAAAACTTTAAAAAAAGAATTGTAATATCACCCGTAAATATTTTTCTGTCAGTTTCGATTTTGAAACCAAAAATATTCTGTGCATACTGTGCACAACGAATTTATTCAATTACATGGTAGTACCAGAGTTTCTGCGCAAAAAAATTACTAATTAAGTTTTATTGTAACATCCAAAATAATATCTACACGTAACGGTAACTAGATAAGTGATTAATAATATCATAACTACATTAACAATAATTGTAAAATCTCAAACCTGTTACTGTTATGTTACAAATATGACAAATATAACTTCATGTTTGTTTCCTCAGATATAGTTAGACAGAAGCTGTCTTGTTCTTGCACAGCTATTAATCTAACGAATCAAATATAAATTATTTTAAAATAAAATAAATATCACCAATTATGAATATATCAAAAGTTTCGGCATCTGATTCCACTTGAATTTCTGAGCATCAGGCATCTGCATTTCTTTCACTAATGAGCGTATATTTCCAAAGTATGCAGTCACATATGTTATAATAAAATCAACTGTAAATATTTTGTGAGAACTGTAATGTGTTGAAGGAATTGGCAAAAAAAATAACCTCTCTATGTTTTGATTATCAAACTATAAGAATTTATCAGCGATAAAATAAAGCTTTAGGTCTAAATTTCTTACATCGAATTACTTGGATGAGCAAAATTACAGGTTTTCATAGGGGTATTTTACGACCTCTACTGATACATCCGTCGATTCTTTTGTTCTGAATTTCACTTTATTGTTGGTGTCTTCCGACATTAGTGGCGTAGGTCATCTGCTCAGGCCATCCTTCATAAATTTTCCTTTCACATCACTCTCCCGCGGGGTAAATTTTGCGGGTTCACACCAGAAGCCGAGAAACGCCATTATTACCACGCGCATCTCTTTTCTTCTTGCCCATATTACCGTGACATTTAAAGAAGTCACCTTCTCATCAAACATGTATTCATCTAATGTGGAATACATTTTAATAACAACTATTATCAAATATTATTCAACAGAAACCCAAAATAATCGCTGAATTCGGATTACAAAACTTAAAGTTTCGATATATTTGAGTACCAAATAATCACATGATATGCAAAATTCTTCGTCAACTTTGAGCAGTTTGACTTCATTCAAGGATATGATAGGATGCATGCTCTGGCATACAAGCTGTACAGCTCCTCCCATAATGACCCGAAAAGACACCTCTTGATCCGGCTGTTTTCTATCCAGCTCACCTTTACTTTATTGTTATCTTCGTCTTTTCTACTCTTCTCAACCATTTCATCCTTATATAATAGTGACATCCTTGAGATGTCATTTTGTCGTTCGATAATATTAATAAAATTAAAGACAAATTAATTTAAACAACAAATTAGATTTAAACTATGTTTATTTCAGCAGCCTTTTAATTTTAAATTAAAGTTTCAAATTTTTCTGGCGGAAAGCAATTTCTCAAAATACTAATATTGTGTGTTACATTAAATACACAAAACACTATTGACCCTTACATAGATAAATATGTATGCATTAAAAAACTATATATATATAGTTATAATGCATACATATTTCAGCGATTATTTATATATAGTTTTAATAATCTCTCTCTCTCTCTATATATATATATATGTATATATATATATAGTTTTTTAATAATCTTTATTATTAACTGTTAACAACTGTAGAAGCTTAATTCTTAGCTTCCTGCGCAAAAGTACAAAAATGAATTAAATGTCAAAAGATGGAGTCATTTCTGAAACTATGTGCTTCTCGGGCACAAAAGTTGTGTGCATGCTAATTTTTGCGCTTAATCATAACCAAGCATATTTTTCTAGTTTGTTTGGTATTGCACCAAATGCTCCCAACTAAATGCAAATACACTTTTTTCAACTAAAATGTATGAATTTCTTCGAAAATTTTCCTCACTGTCTTTTTTTGTTTTTTGTGTTGTCGACCATTGTAGAATATTTTAGTTATTACTCGTGCACAACAAAATCTACGTCATCACTTTGTTTTATTTTGCAGCGTTATCATTTGTTATCATTTCAGAATGATATATATACTTCTAGCTATTGCAACACAATGATCAATTCTTGTTAAAAGAATAAAATTTGTCAAAATATTGACTTCATTTTTTAATATCTGCAATTAGTCTTTACTTTCTATTTATAATTATCCATAATATTATTGCATAATTATAATTTGTAGCACTAATCAGCCACAGACTTTATCAGACCTTACTTTTGCTTTGCAAGCGCTTTTCAGTGCTTAAGAAATCACTCGTGGAATACTCACTCTATTTAAGGTGCATAATTCTACTTCACTCACTTCGTTTCACTTGTTATTTTGTTGTAAGCGACTTACATTTCTGTTTGTTTTTATGCACTTTTTTCACCTGCTTGTCCATCTGGCTTATTGAAATTGCCCTATTTTTTACATTCATTCATCTTTTATTTTAAAGCCTTTTGCAATTTCAAATCAATTTTTTTTAACTCTGTAATTACTCTTTTGCTTTTTTCCATTTCTCGATAATCTGTTTCACATTTAAAATCCTTGCCTATTTCTTTTCTGTGATATCACTTATTAGTGTAGTCATTGAGATTCATGGATTGAATTGAGAGCACAAGTTTGCATCTTTTACTCCAATGCACTAAACTATTAGATTATTGTTATGACTGCATGTTAATTTTAGTTATTAACATGAAAAAATGGTTGTATAAATGTTCTTATTAAAATTTTTATATAAAGAAAGTTAGTTTGTTGAAATTGTTTTGCTATAAATGCTTACAGTAATTTCGATTCACATATTCCTTTGATAGTTAATGTTATTAGCGATAATATTAGCTGATTTTAGAGATTTTGTGCTTTTAAACAAAGTATTGTTGTTATTTGTTGAGAGATTTTATTCATCTGAAGTTATTTATAAAATTTATATCATTCTTGTGCATTAATTGCATTCTTCATTTTTTATGTCATGATTTTTATACATCTCGTAATTACACTAGACTTCGTTTTTTATTTTTGTGGAAATATTATTGCAAACACAAATATTAAAGTTTTATACTTGCACAAAGTTAACAGTAATTTCTTATATTAAATCTTCTTTACTCTTAAAAAATTCGCGAAACATTTACGTGAGATGGATCATTCTTAAAGCCATTTTGGTGATGTAGCAAGGAAGTTCATTTATCAAATACAGTTTTTCATGTTTACTTATTTTAGCTTATTAATTATTCTTCATACTTCTAATAACTCTCTCTTTTTTCTCTTTTACAAGCATTTTTTCATTCCCTTGTCAAGTATTTTTCATCATCAAATCACTAATTAATTTATTGTCTGAAGATTGGCCTTAATTTCCATCAATCTTCTCTTAAAACTGCTTCTTTGTCATATTGAGCATAAATAATCTGTTGTAGCTTTTACTACAGGATACTATCTGATCTGCCCTTGCTCTTACACCTTCTATTTACCGTTCAATTCCTGAATCTTATTTCATG